TGGACAAAAGCGGCGGCTAGTATGGCTGTATGGATGATCCAGTGATGTAGGCATGTAGCATAAGTATAATTGAGGTGGTCCCATCTTATGTTCTGTCGGTGGAAACTAGAGAGGCAGGGCAGTACAAAGGCTCAAAATTGTTTGATTAAAAAAAGAAACAGACAGAAGAGAGATTACTCCAAAAAAACAGAGAGAGAGAGAGACAGAGATTTTGCGTGATCAGTGGTGAGACAGCAGAGACAATCTTCTAGGTATATGCAACCTACATTTTCTAGTCTACAGTAACGACGTCAGACTTTTTTTTGTTGTGAATGGAAAGCTTTTACAAGATTTTTTTTTTATAAGTTGAGATGAATTTTTTATATATATTTATTTTGTATACTATAAAATTATTTTAAAAATTATAATTTGATTTTTATTTTAAAAAAGTGAGTACTTCTTTTCATTCCAAGATACCAGAAATTAGGAGATAATTATCAGCCTTTAATATTGCTGAAAATCTTGATTGATGTAATAAGAAAAAATGTCAGGATTATACTGCAAAGACGCTAACTCGTCCCTTATTATAGTTGAGGTCAAATAACACTGACCCTTGCTGTCAATTACGCATCTCCACGGATGCTAAGAAAAACCACACATTTCATTGGCGCATGGTGCTTATATACACAAATTTCAAACATAGAACATGATCGCATAAGAGAGGAAATAAAAAATTTATGGAAAAAAGTTCACAAACTTTAAAAAGAGGATCTTTAGTACGAGACGATACGAAAGTCCAAATTGTTTGCGCGGGCGTTTATACGCCGTGTAACGAAGCTTCTTGATTGACCCAACAATAGAGAAGTTATTTTACGCCCTGTAAACATTTCTTCATCACAATCACAGTCCAGCAAAACACATAAAATATAAAGTTCTATCGTTAAAGACGCATGGGTTACCCTGTTTTTACAAGTCACCCCCTCACTGTGCACACTTCTTCCAACGTGTGCTTTAATTAGTTATATCAAGCCAGGCACTGTTTGTGTAGTATATGTAATATTGTAATCATATGATGAGGAAGAAGAAGGGTCAGAATCAGAGAGACCCAGGTTTATGACACGAGTTCGTGATCGCTATTGGCGGATCTGAGAAAGAACCATTGAGTATACGATCAGCAATCCAGTGATTGGCTGCTTCAGTGTAATGCACGCCATCCCAGCTGATATGGGAGGAAGGATCTTCACAAGCACCTGCAAATATTTCAGTACCATTTACTGTTCCTTTGTTTCCACACCATATATCAGTCCCCTCTTCATGATACCCGCAGCAAATCTTAGCTGGATCTACAAAACCTGCAATGTCAAGAGTAAGTAAAATTTGAAAGGCACTGTGGTTTCTGCTGCAAGTTTTGTTAGCAGTGAGAATTAGTTACCCTCTTCTTTGCATTGCTAATTAGCTGGTACTTGGCGGAGAAGAGATCCACGTATGTTAATGAGGCATCAAGGAGTTGTGATCTCAGACTGACCACTGTGTTCTTGAGCTTTTCATTGAATTCTTTGGCCATGTCGTTTTGGTAATTCACACAGCCGTTTTGATCAACGTAACCAGCCGCTGGGTTGTGAGTGTTGTGCATGGTTACTGCCAAGCATCCAATTGGGCCAGTGTTGTGTATCCAGAATGTCCTTGCTCCGTCGTTGTACAATCTGGGTAATGGGCACTATATTCTCTTAGCGAAGCTTTTGTGAGTAAGGTTCTTTTGCCACTTTAGTTGAAAATTAAATTCGGTATTGGCTCCAAGTTCATCCTTCAAACGATAGTAGAATCATACGAGATCATTCTTTCACAAATTAATATGTTGAGGTTGAAAAAAAAGTAAGCTTTTAAACGTGTAAATGAGAAGAAAAGGGTTAACTCTTCTTGTACGCATAACTTACTTGAACTTGAGTAGCAAATTGCTGTACAATATCAGAGATTACAGCATGAGAATCCTCTTGGCCCGCTCTGTTAATAGCAGCAGCAATATCATTTTGGCCAATATCCATGGTGTAAATAGCCTTAGGAAAGTCCTCTGGTTTTGGATACTGCCTTCTGCAGGCAGGATTATTTCCTGCAAATCATAGACAAACTCAGTTTTAACAGAATATAAAAAGGCGTTGTTGCATAGGTATATATACAGAAGAACCAACCAGTTTGATTGAAGAACTTGGCGGTGCGTGCCTTGAACTGATGAATGAACTGTGCAGTCTGAATCTCAAGAGTGAATGGGGTGCCTCCATCAAAGAAGGTTCTATTTTGCCTCCTAATTGTTGATGATCCTGCTGCAAAATTCGCTCCATGCCCATAGCTTGTTCCAATCGAGTCAACGTAAGCACTCAACAGAGGAAAGCCAAGCTGCTTTGCTGCATTCATATATAAAACAACTCTCATTTGAGACAAGTTACAAAACGAAGTAAGGAAGCCAAACCAAACCTTATACAGTTGTATTACAGAAGAGAAACTGATTCAAAAGAATACGATTGTATTATATACTATACTATACATATAATTGATTTGTATCTGTAAAAGATATGAATTGATGAAGAAGAAACAGACTAGTATTGTAGAAATACCGATGAAGTCGATAATCAGGCGACCATCAGAGGCTCGACCAGCAGGCTCATGGAAGAAGGTCTCACCAGAAGGGGAAGCCATGGGATAGAAAGCAGCGGCCATGCAACCTGTATCTGAATTAGAGTCACCAAAGTTGAAGATTGCTGGGAAATCACAAGATGGCAGAGAATCCATTTCTTCCGACTTCACACCACTCATCACAAACCAAAACACTATGATCCCACCAATCACATCCATTATGTTCTGCTCACAGGCCTAACCTATTCTCCAACAGGCTTCCTATATATATGTGTGCGTGTGTTTATATTATATATAAATATTTGGATGGTTTTGCAGAATTAGAGTGATCACGTATTCGTGTACCCAACGGCTAATAATCACATGAGGGTGAATAGAAGTAGTAGAGGAATCTAAAAATGGAAGAAATGAAAGATCTGGCCTGCTTGCCTGTTAATTTCATGAGGAACAACTAAACAAAATGTGATGTCCTGACAAAATGAAGCTCCCTTCGCTATCTTTGATTGGGTCCCTCTTTCTTTTTTCTGAATATTCCTTATTAAATGCACAATCTCATGATGGTAGATCCCGTTCTGCATTTCTTATATTACAAATTTACAATTATGATAATATGTTCAGCCTTTCTGAAATATAAGCAGGAATACAATTCTTTGGTGTCAGAATTTTATAAAAACAAGTTAATTTATTTTCAGGGTCAACAAGCTTAGTCGACAACATTGGCAAAAATTTATCGTGATACCGACAAGATTTTAATAATGGTGATTAATTTCTTGAGGGTTAGACCACAAACGTTGAACTGATCGAAGTGATGAATATAATAATAATGTTACACAAGCTTCTAGGTTGTCCACATATGAACACATTAACCCGTAGGAATTTCAGGTTTCCGTAGGAGTATAATTACAAGGACTGTCCCATATGAGCGGAGTTTTCTTCTTTGTTCAAAGTTTTTCAATTAATTTGCGTATCACGCGAGATTGAATCTTTACTGAAATGATTTGAAAACTTCTATCTGTGATGATAGTGGTCCCGAAATTTAAAGTCGAATAACTTAAATAAAATGCAATTGAAGGTTTTTTTTTTTTAATTTTGTTGTTTGCCACGAATTAAAAATGCAAATTTTTATTAAAAATTCAAATGTCAGTCCATAAACCACACGCTTTATTCAGCATGTCTCCTTACTTTAGTTAGCATTTAATTGGATTTAGAAGGAAATCCTCCTTCTCCTTCCCTTTGTTTCGCGCACCTTTCTTCCTCTATCCATATTTTAGGACCATCACATGATTTGCTACGCTAATTATATTATCTTTTAAGACGACGACGTCACAGATGGGCATGATGCTGTGATTCGGCAAGCAGTTTATATAATGTTAAGGTTCTGACCGTAGTGAATCTTGAGAACCAAATCAACTAAATTTTTTTATAACAACAAATAATGATACCAGCTTCGAGAATTTGGGGAATGAGAGATATAGGAAAGGATGACGGAAATAATAACGTGAAAATCATTCATAGATTCAGATAAGAAAATTAATAGAGAGAGAGATATTATATGGACTATGAGTAATTATTTTAATAACAAAATTAAGGAAAGGGAAGGACATGAGCGGAAATCAAGCTTCAGATAAGAGAGATGGGTTGTTGAGGTCTCCACTCTCCGCACAACACGAAGAAGGTCGCCCCACTAGTAGAGTGCACGCCTCACCATTATGATAATCAAAATTATAATAATCAGCAGCAAGAACAGAATCATCTTTTGTTCAATAAACAAGATCCATATCTACTATAGATTGATGAAACATAACGGACGCCATTAAATTGGAGAAAAGAGCGTAATCTCGGGCAAGTAGTTGTTTATTTATTTATTTTGGGGTGGTAGTTGTAAACTGGAAATGGTTGCCTGGGAAGGCAAAACAGGGGGAGGACAGTAGGTAATGTGATGGGGAGGGGATGGTGGGTGGTGCAGACTTGACAGAAATATACTCTGACAAGTACGAAACTTAGAGATGTAGCTTCCGTCTCTCTCGCCATCATCGCATTTTCCTTTTTCATCCATCACTCTTACTGCGGCATGTGTGACTGGGTGTAGCATACGAACATTATAATAAATATCGGGAGTGGTGGTGGGATTTCGATCGCTTCATAACATGATAACTGCCGAAAGTGATCATAGAAAACGAAAAACCCAGCAGCTAAAAATACTAGTCCCGTTTCTGTTCTCTTTTCGGGTTGCATGATTTCCCGTTTTGATTGCAATGGTGTCATCTGGTATTCTGGTTCATGTTTCCCCCGGCCCAAACTCGTGCCAAGCAACATGACCCAGACAGAGCATCACGGCCTAGTTGGTTAATCTGATTCTCGAAAGATCTCTGCTCGCATTAATATTTCTAGCACCAGCGTAAGGAAAAATCTCACATTAAATGGCCCATTTCAGAATTCCACAGAGACACTGAGAGTGAGAGCTTATAAAACGGTTTTCAAACCTTCTACAAAATTACATCTTGCCATGACAAAAAGCATTTTTTCCCCACCAACCCACGCAAAATATGCGGTGTCAAATAAAATTTAAATGACTATACTATTATTGGCTTGCTCTAGTCTGCACTCCTTAAGATTCTCCCCTCGTTTTGCTTTAACGATCCGGTGTCTCTCTGTAGATCAAAGCGGTCGAAAATGAGATCGTCTATTAATTAATACATGGTGCTTCACTTTGGCAAGTTACAAGGCTTTACACGAATATCGCAAGCAAGACATCAAATGAAGATCCATGACTATTAGGCGTAGCAGATGAAATCATGAATTAAATTCTGAAATGACTAAAACATGAACGGTGAAACTTGCTACCAGTCCCAAGAAGCAAAGAATAAAAGAGCGGCAACTATAGCAACGAAGCTGCAACCAACAAAAATGTTAAGAGTCATTTATCTTACAGAACATAATGTATAGCCTTCAATCTTGAATATGCTTCACTTGAAAACCGTTACTTTCTATTCGTTCAAGCTTATAACCTCCATTGACATAATTTAGTTTATGGACTGTCAGCCCAGTCCTACATCTTCCATGCTATACAGCACAGCCACAAAACTGATATTACCAGCCGATACTAGCTTTGGAGGTCCTTCTTACTTTTCTTCTTCCTTGAGGCAAAGCTACTGGGTCCTATTTCTATAGACATTCTTTTTGTCCTGCAATGTAAAGGGAAAAGCTAAGTCCAACAGATACTGTTTGACCTGAAAATTTGAACGACAAATTTAACAAAGAATAGTCTTAAATGTAATTCATCCACTGCATGATAACACAGCATACCGAGAAGATAGCTCTTCCGAATCCTTGGAATTCCCATCTGCAGCACATTTGCGATACTATCATTAGCCCAATTACTAATTTAGTTTTTGTATGAGCTCAACGAAAAACATAAGAGAAACCAAAGTAATGCTTGAGCTTGACTGACTTAAAAGCTGATCTATCCATCGGAACAAAACGTAGTCACTTCACGTGATCTATTGACAAGATAATCCACTTATGTGTTATCACAAAATAAGATCCCCCCCCCCCCCCCCAAAAAGCAGACAAGATAAGATAGTGCATCTAACTGAATCTTTATATTGTATATGTTCCATCATACAACTACTTATTGGTAATTCAGTCTCTGCATATCTTAGTTTCCCCTCATTCCCAATATCAATTATTTCATTTATTTGGAAGCTTTCATTCTCGACCATATTATCTTGTTCATATCATAAACCATATAAAACTAATTTTCTGCCATGTCAACACTTGTATGACCTTGACAAAACAGCCAATGGAACTTGATAATAAATCAATTGAAATGAGCAGGAGCGGAAAACATACCGATTTCATTGGCCTCTTCACTTTCCTGCTCCGACTCTGTTCCTGAACCCCACCGATCTCTTCCATCATCAAAGTCCCAGCGATCTCCAACAGGAGGCATCCAGAATTCTGCCTCTTCAGAGTCACTGTCCTCATTAGAAGACTTCCGTACTTCAGGTTGATATCTTCAATGTCCTTGTCCTCCTTCTTCTTCTTCTTTTTCTTATCCGTCTTCCCACCATCTGCACTTAGTGGCCTTGGTTTGCTCTCTTCTTCTTCCATTCCATCACATGACAACTTCTCCGCTTCCTTTTGCTCTGCTTTATAAGCCAAATACATTAGTGATAAATATCTACAAATTTCTCATGCACTCACATATTAACCCATGAGTAATACTGAGAAACCAGAACCTCACTAAATTATTTGGAATTTTTCATGATTCCAAAAGACCTAAAACAGTGAGGGGTATATGACAGACCTAGTTTATTGAGAAATCTTTTCCCATTCATATGCTTCCAGATATGTTCCTCTGACTTGTTGACGGTTGTCTCCAGTCAATTTACATATCAACTTTGAACTGCAATGCGGAACCTATGCCTATGTTATGCCAGTCTGACATTGATAAATAATCCAAGGAACAAACGGACACATAATAAAATAAATAAACATTATATCCTAGTCGATAGCTCGACTCTCCATCTGAGGATTGGAAACGCTATCGGTCTTCCTCGCGAATAGTTTCCACTTCTGACCTTCAAAGATATGGCGGTTTAGATAAGCGACCGGTTTTTTCAAAGTTATAAAAAGGAAACAGTTTATAGCCCGTTTAATTGTTGGAAAGGATGGGAATGGTTTAGAATGGCGTGATAGAAAATAAAATGGACTAAATGATGATAGAGAGGTGAGAACGAAGATTAACATGTTAGGATCTGATGGAGTTGAGGCAAACCGAGCCAGTTCTTTCGGTAAGCTGTAATTCATTGTTCCTTTTGGGCAGCTAAAAGGACGATAAAAATGTGAGTTTTCTCCCTTACAAGGACCAGGAACGAGTTCTATAGTCAAGCTTGGGCATATCCCCTTAGTGCGTTTACACAGACCTTATTGAAGGTGAAAGAAAAGAATAAATGAAATCCTGAAGAGTTCTATTCCATTGATTTCCAAAGATAGCACACACAGACCAAGGGAGAGTGTGGTTTCAACCAAAACCGCCTGGAAGTTAACATATGATAGCTAAGTCCATGGAAACCCATGATGGCAATGAATTCTTATACAAAAAAACAAGAAGGGAATTTACCGGGAGAGTGGGTCTTGCTTGAACATATTGCAAGGGGGCTTATTATGGGACAACGCAAAGTCAATGAGACCTAATCGGCACTTTTTGCTGTGAGAGTAGGAGTCCATGTCCTTGGCGAACAGTTCATGTCC